TAAGGTAATACCATTGAAACAGTCTGTTGTTTATTTGGCTTCAGTATGGAAAGATTTCCTTAAAGAGGAAGTGAAAATATGCACAGCCCCAGCCACGTCTTCAACACATTAAGAGCTAGAGGGCAGAGAAAAAGCAAAATAGAAAAGAAAAAACCCTTTGTAAGTCAAAGGCCTCCCCTCCCATTCTTGTCTTGTGATGTCTGTCTTCATGCTTCTCTTGTAATACAAAGAAGCGGGTTGTTTGCCACAGCCCAAGATGAATGGCAGCAAGAGGACAACAGTCAATGACAACCCCTGTGCCAGCTGTTGAACATGGCATATACTCTATAAATACACAATAATTTATGATGCATGTTTTCAGCAAAGCATCTTCTGACCAAAACCTCTATGGAGAATTTATGAGCGTATTTTTTATCACTTTGCAAGGCCACAGTAGGTTTTGGCATTGGTTTTCATTAAAGGGGTCAAATGATGCTATTTTAAAGATCATTATTTTGTGTATTTGGTGTAACAGAATATGTTGACATGCTTTAATGTTCATAAAACACATTATTTTTCAAATACTGTACATTATTGTAGGTCCTCTATGCCCCACCTCTCTCAAACGCTTCGTTTTCTACAAAGCCCCCTCCTTTGACAAGCGCAGTCTGCTCTGATTGGCCAGCTGACCCAGTGCATTCTGATTGGCCGAACACCACAAGCACTCGTCGGAAATGTAACGCCCCTTACCATAATCGCGAGCTTCATCTTTCAAAATAAACGTAAAGACAGTAAATAATGTCATTAGTTTTACCATCAGTTCAAGCCCGAAAGGACAACAGAGTCGCGTGACAGACACAGTGATGAAGCTGGTATGCGTTTGCAGTACACAAGCCACGGTTAAGACAGCTGACTATAAGTTGCATCAACGATTTAACAGACTTTAATTGCAGTGTTCTTAATCTTTATAAGTTAGTAGTACTGTTCGGGTTTACAGTGTGGGGGCGTGTTAGAACGAGCCGTTTTAGGTAGGTGTGGCTGACTCTTAACTTTTATAAAGAATATCTCTTTGGATTTGAGACTTTAGTCTTTGCAACTTTACAGATCTTCTTTATGCACCAAGAGCTTGTAACACTCCGAAGAGAAAGGAAAACTTGAAATCGCATCATATGACCCCTTTAAAGTTGTTGACATACGGCTAACGATATGGTCATACTAGACAGTAAGCGTGCAAAATTATGACCAATTTTGGCAAAATTATACATTTCATGCTCAAGGGCTTCTGTGTTTATGAAGTAATGCATTACAAATAATTAGAAGAATTTAAAATGTTAACATATATTATCTACTCCACTATCCTGCAACATTGCAATCATGCAGATTAGAAGTTTTCTTTTGTAGTGAGCCAAGAGTTCAATCCCACATGGCAGACACATCTTAACATTCACAGAACAAAAGTAATTAAGTAGTATAAAAGGCTCAATTTCAACCATATTTAAGGAAACTGGTCAAAAGGAAATACATGTCATTGTTGCTTTCTTTGCCCTCCCTTTCCTCTTTTCTATCCCAAGACCTGGAAATCTGTGGCATTGACTCTCATCAGGTATCCTTCCTGTATCAATCTCTGATCTTGAAGTCTGGTTAAGGGGGAGTGAGGAAAAAAAAAGAGAGGGAGAGAAGGATAGGAGAACAGCGATAACGCCAAGACAGGATGCTCTCTGTGCAATCCGATAGCCTCGCCAAAAACATCCTGACCTCAGCCCCCTCCTCCTTTTCTCCGTTTCTTTCCTCCTTTCCTTTTATTTTCGCTTATGATTAGAAACTCAGTGTCTTTGAGCATTGAAAGTTGAAAATAGTGCAAAAAAGCGGTGTAGAAAACGAAAATTCTGTCATTATAGACTCACTATATTTTCTGTGGATGAGGAAAAAAAAAAGAAAAATCTATATAATGAAAGTTAATAGTCACTGCGTGTGCCAAGCTCCCCCCTAAATAAAATAAAATAAAATAAAATAAAATAAAATAAATTTGTGTGAGGAAAAGATTCAAATATAAGGCATTATCTTATTTTATTTTCTTCCCCTCAGCCATAACTCTCAAATCAAATATATTTTAGACAATAATGAGATCAAATATCACTTCTCAGAAGTCCTCTGGCTACTTTTATGGTATGTTTTATGCTTTTTGTTATTTTTAGAGCTTGACATATATGAATTGTCATTCTATGGAAAGAGCTGCATGAAGTCTCTTGAAAAATGTGTGTTAAGCATAAAAAAAATTATTTGAATTCAGTGAATAATGACAAAAATGTCTTTTCTGGATGAACTATTCCTTTATGCAAACATAAACTCACCAATAAGACACATAGACATTTTTCATAAACACAAACCTTTGAAATTCATACAGAAGCAAATTCAATATGATGCCTCGTTAACCTCAAAACTTGTTGGTTTTTCAAAATAAATAGAAACCGAGAACAGAGAAGTTTCTGGTTTGAGAAGTACCTTGACTCATTCTTTCAGCGTTTGGTATGAGAGCCCACATGCATGTGAGCCTCTGGTTTCCTCAAGGGGGAGAACTTACTCAACCTACAAGTACTGAATGACTAATGTCACTGTGCCCCCTCCGTCTGCTCCGGCTGACACGCCCATTACTTTCCTCACCCGCTTTTTTCTCTCTTTCTCCTCCACTTCTCCTCGGGCCCTCACACTATCTTCAATAATTGATCAACCCACCCAAAGTCCAGACAGCAGCCATTAACTGCAGCAGCATGGCCTCACTCAGTCATATCAACTGTTAGCCAAGTCCTTTTCCCAAAATCACATCTTTTTTTTTTTTTTTCTCCAGACCAGACTGAGGAACTACAAATGTCTGTTTCTATGACAAAGTGTCATCCTGTGAAAGGATGTGAGGACTCTGGTTGACTGTTCAGATACAGAAGACAAAGAGAAAAACCTCAAACTAGTCAAGGTTACTTTCTGTCAAACTGCTTTCCAGGTTTTCTACTTTTTTTTTTTTACATAAGAGGACAAATGTAAATGTCAAACATAAAGAACATTTATTGATCTTGCAGTAGAACAAGCGTCTATGTAACTGGCACCAATACGATCAATACAACTACAGTATCTGTTATGCATAATATCTGCCTGCTTTTATGTGTTCCTGACTTGATTCTGTTTCACGGCCAGAGAAATGGAGATGCAAATGTTTTTCTAGTTAAATAAAATAAAATAAAATAAAATAAAATAAAATAAATTTGTGTGAGGAAAAGATTCAAATATAAGGCATTATCTTATTTTATTTTCTTCCCCTCAGCCATAACTCTCAAATCAAATATATTTTAGACAATAATGAGATCAAATATCACTTCTCAGAAGTCCTCTGGCTACTTTTATGGTATGTTTTATGCTTTTTGTTATTTTTAGAGCTTGACATATATGAATTGTCATTCTATGGAAAGAGCTGCATGAAGTCTCTTGAAAAATGTGTGTTAAGCATAAAAAAAATTATTTGAATTCAGTGAATAATGACAAAAATGTCTTTTCTGGATGAACTATTCCTTTATGCAAACATAAACTCACCAATAAGACACATAGACATTTTTCATAAACACAAACCTTTGAAATTCATACAGAAGCAAATTCAATATGATGCCTCGTTAACCTCAAAACTTGTTGGTTTTTCAAAATAAATAGAAACCGAGAACAGAGAAGTTTCTGGTTTGAGAAGTACCTTGACTCATTCTTTCAGCGTTTGGTATGAGAGCCCACATGCATGTGAGCCTCTGGTTTCCTCAAGGGGGAGAACTTACTCAACCTACAAGTACTGAATGACTAATGTCACTGTGCCCCCTCCGTCTGCTCCGGCTGACACGCCCATTACTTTCCTCACCCGCTTTTTTCTCTCTTTCTCCTCCACTTCTCCTCGGGCCCTCACACTATCTTCAATAATTGATCAACCCACCCAAAGTCCAGACAGCAGCCATTAACTGCAGCAGCATGGCCTCCCTCAGTCATATCAACTGTTAGCCAAGTCCTTTTCCCAAAATCCCATCTTTTTTTTTTTTTTTTCTCCAGACCAGACTGAGGAACTACAAATGTCTGTTTCTATGACAAAGTGTCATCCTGTGAAAGGATGTGAGGACTCTGGTTGACTGTTCAGATACAGAAGACAAAGAGAAAAACCTCAAACTAGTCAAGGTTACTTTCTGTCAAACTGCTTTCCAGGTTTTCTACTTTTTTTTTTTTACATAAGAGGACAAATGTAAATGTCAAACATAAAGAACATTTATTGATCTTGCAGTAGAACAAGCGTCTATGTAACTGGCACCAATACGATCAATACAACTACAGTATCTGTTATGCATAATATCTGCCTGCTTTTATGTGTTCCTGACTTGATTCTGTTTCACGGCCAGAGAAATGGAGATGCAAATGTTTTTCTAGTTGTTCAAATTTGAATGCATTAACAGATTTTAAGATTTTAATGCCTAAACTAGGCAAAGCTGGTTTGCTGTAGTTCTTATCTTGTCTGGTTTTGGGCACTTGTCTGCTGGTTAGCAAGCTTAGGAAGATTAAGAGACCTGCAAAATCTGGTTTAAGCAGTTATTTTCTGAGCAGAGATGACTAATAAAAAGATTATTTAATTGAATTACACGTTATATTATTATGAACGCAACTAAAGCTACAAATGATGAACAGGATCTCAGAGATCTGAGAGCCAAGTTGAAGAGGAAAACTACTAGCTAAGGCAGGAAGGCCCCTCGAGGGCCATCTTCTACCTCTTTGTTGACTCCACCTAAAGCCAACATTGCCATCTCTGGGTGTTTGTGTTCTCCACCCACTCTGCCCCTGCTAAAGTAATATTCCACAGCCATAAGCGAGAGGTGGCGGCATGTGAGGACACCAACAATTAGCATGCGCACACCACCTACTTGGTCTATTTTAGTTTGAAATAACCCATCAAACTTCTGTGAAGGAAGCTGTCTAGAGGTGGTTTTTGGCTCCTGGTCAGTGTGACTCACCTGTCTGTTGCGCTCATCCATAATCCGTGTGATCTGAATCTTTTTCCTCCCCATTGTCCCCGTCTTTTCGTCTCTCTCTTTCTCCAATGAACTTTATACTTTTGTCCCTCTGTTTTTGCTTGCTTTTTCTTCAAACCAGGCTTTCTTCTCTTGACTTCCTCCACTCAATTCAAAGATTCCAGTAGCTGTACCTGCGAAAGGCAGAGAGAGAAAGGCATTAAGTCAGATGAAAAATGGCAAAACCGCAGCTTTAAAAAACAGGGAAAGGCAGAGTCTGAGCCACATGGGACAGCAAATAAAGACAAAAGAATCTGCAGACGATCCGAGGCAGCGCTGTTTTCTGCCATCAATATCATGCAAATCAGATTCTCGCGCTTCAGCTGCGACTATGAGGGTAGACAGCACTGTCATGCTCTCTCTACAGTCACAGAGAATTTGACAGTGTTTTGGAACTGCCACTAACTTAACAGCTCTAATCATTTGCAGTGTAACGTTTACTGTTGCCTGAACGACAAGCTGCGCCACTTTCCTAAACAACGCTGGTGTAACATTTCACAGAATTGTCACTAGCGTCTGAACGAACACATTGGAATTTCCCTTTTAGCTGAACATTTATGTGAACTCAACAAACTGGCTGAGCTACGGTGCACCAAAATATGATACTTTACTCTCCATAAGAACTGAAAAAGAACCTGAATGGAAACATAGGCCATCCTGATTTAGCCCTCGTCAAACCCGCTCTAGAATATGATCCCGTTGTCACGTCACGGTTTTGCTCAGCTCTCCGTCTCTCAGGGAAAAAGGTGTGCAGGGCCTTTATCGGGCCCTCCTGCTGAGCTCTTTCTGCTTTTGAAAGGCTGCCCTCACCTGAGAAGCTAACCCAGGCTTTCTATAAAGTGCTCACAGCTCAGATCCACACAGTGCGAGAGCTTGCGATCACAGAACACACGTGTGCATGTGCCGGTGTTTGTGTGCATGTGCGCACCTCTTTGGTGCTGTAAAGTAGGCCAATCCGATTCATCTCTGGGAGGAGTGGCAGAAGTGTTGTTGTGTTTTATTCTGACAGTAGAGGTGATAACATCCCTCGTTATGCAAATGAGTGTCCCATTATTTAAGCTCGCTGTAATGCAGTAAATCTGTCAGTGGTGTCACGTTAAAAGCCCTCCATTGCGTTCTCTTTATTCTTCGGCTCTTTTTCTTCTTTCTGAACCAGATTTCACCTGCCAGAGCGAGCGAGGAACATTGATGTAGATACACCTAAAGCATACGCTGCGCTTCTGACGTCTATCCGTGCTGCCATGCTGCTCTCATTTATTAATAATCAAGTGTTTATGGGTGGAGTAGGGGTTTTAAAGTGTTCCAGAGACTTTTCCATGTCAGTTGAGTTTAAACCACAAGCAAACTCTAATTTCATTGGCTCAGATCCATGTTCATTTCATACAGTGTGGCTAATTTCCCAAATTCCACACATATTTGCTGGATTCCTTTGGTGTTGTTGAAATAGAGTTGTTAAATATATAGTTTCTTTGCTACAAATGCTGATATTGAAATAATGTATTTTTTCCCCACTGTCTCTAATAATAACGGAGAATAAGACTCTATTAGCATACAAACAACAGCGCTCTGTACTTCACCAAGAGCTGGACTGTTAGCAAGCACGTCTTAGCGTGTAAGTGGTGAAATCTGAAGTGGCTTGATGATTGTTTAGAGTGCCCTTTTAGCTGAACATTTGTGTGAATGCAACAAAACTGTGACTGATGATGAGATGAGGCTTTACCATCCATAAGAGCTGAAGAAGAACCTGAATGGAAACGTGGGCCATCCTAATTTAACCCGCTCTAGAATATGATCCCGTTGTCACGTCACGGTTTTGCTCAGCTCTCCGTCTCTCAGGGAAAAAGGTGTGCAGGGCCTTTATCGGGCCCTCCTGCTGAGCTCTTTCTGCTTTTGAAAGGCTGCCCTCACCTGAGAAGCTAACCCAGGCTTTCTATAAAGTGCTCACAGCTCAGATCCACACAGTGCGAGAGCTTGCGATCACAGAACACACGTGTGCATGTGCCGGTGTTTGTGTGCATGTGCGCACCTCTTTGGTGCTGTAAAGTAGGCCAATCCGATTCATCTCTGGGAGGAGTGGCAGAAGTGTTGTTGTGTTTTATTCTGACAGTAGAGGTGATAACATCCCTCGTTATGCAAATGAGTGTCCCATTATTTAAGCTCGCTGTAATGCAGTAAATCTGTCAGTGGTGTCACGTTAAAAGCCCTCCATTGCGTTCTCTTTATTCTTCGGCTCTTTTTCTTCTTTCTGAACCAGATTTCACCTGCCAGAGCGAGCGAGGAACATTGATGTAGATACACCTAAAGCATACGCTGCGCTTCTGACGTCTATCCGTGCTGCCATGCTGCTCTCATTTATTAATAATCAAGTGTTTATGGGTGGAGTAGGGGTTTTAAAGTGTTCCAGAGACTTTTCCATGTCAGTTGAGTTTAAACCACAAGCAAACTCTAATTTCATTGGCTCAGATCCATGTTCATTTCATACAGTGTGGCTAATTTCCCAAATTCCACACATATTTGCTGGATTCCTTTGGTGTTGTTGAAATAGAGTTGTTAAATATATAGTTTCTTTGCTACAAATGCTGATATTGAAATAATGTATTTTTTCCCCACTGTCTCTAATAATAACGGAGAATAAGACTCTATTAGCATACAAACAACAGCGCTCTGTACTTCACCAAGAGCTGGACTGTTAGCAAGCACGTCTTAGCGTGTAAGTGGTGAAATCTGAAGTGGCTTGATGATTGTTTAGAGGACCACTGTAAAAGACATAAAACAAGGAGCAAAACAACTCAACTACAAGCTGGTGATAACGACTGGGTGCCTGTGTAAATATTTACCCAGCAGACGTGGCATCACGGAGTGTGGTTTCACTGCTCATATTTGAAAGCTGATTAAGTAGTTAACTCAATCAAAACAGGGTCTGTGGCTGCAACTCAAAGAGTAGCTTCCTCATTGATAACGACAGGTCTGTAATTCCTAAATCAACCATGCCAGAGTCTCAACATGGACCTGCTGTACCTTACGTATTAATTTTAAATGCCTTTTAATGGGCTTCACCTGGACACTGACTCGTGTTTACAGTGGCACCAAAAACCGAAATGAATGATAGTTTGAATGTTATTGTATTAGATAACAAAATATTAAACCTGTAGACATGTAAAGGAAACCTGCACTGACTTTTTTACTGATTTATTTATGCAATAACCTCACATTACCTGTGGACATGTTACTATAATGATAGATTTATTTATTTGTTTATTTATTTAAAAAATGTAAATTAATGTGTTGGTTTGATATTTTATCTAAAGCATATAAAGATATCCTTTCAGGCACCAGGTAACCTTCCCCCACCCATAAGCACTGGGACAACCTGATTCAACCTCAGCACAATCTCTCACTCTCCGTTCACCCTGTACACCCTGGCCACCCCACCTCCCCCATCTCTCTCTTTCCGTCATCCCCTCCTTCACATGTACACATGCTCACACTCATCTGCTTTCAGATTACCACAGATGAGCACAATCCAATTTACACCAGTAAAGCCGAACTACAGCGCAGACAAGCTGTGGTTGATCAGCAGCCAGAGGCGCTTTAGATATAAAAACGGTCCGGTCACCGCCACACAAGCACTCATATGCAATATCAGACTAAATGATTTCTTGATGCACAAGTGTGACTGACCCCTGCCGAAAACATGGGAACAAAGACTATGTGTGTGTTTGAGATCAAATGTGTGTGAGAGGGTTTTAGTCTTTAGTATGTGCAATTATGCCAGATAGAGAGAAAGAGTGAGGCGGAGAGGGACTACTAACAGGCTTTCTCTGCCATGATAAGCCAATTCACTAATCCATAGCCAAAGCATATGGGGAGGGTGAGAGAGAGAGAGAGAGAGAGAGAGAGAGACGAGGGCTAGAAAGATCCCTCCTTCCAAAGTGAACCTCAGGACAAGCTTGGCTTAGTGTGACAGACAGAAGAAAGCCTGGAAGAGAGGTCACCACCAAAGGGCTGAAGGGTCACAGAGGGATGCTACAGGACAGAGAGGGAAAGATAAGACAAGTTAACCCACAACCTTTCTCATTTGATATATTGGGCTCAAAGCAAGAGTATAAAGAGCAAATCAGAGCGAAAAGAGAAAACCAAAGGAAAACGAGAGAGATGTGAGCAGGTCTCTCTTGAGGAAAAGGAGGAGAAGCTGGCTTCCACCCTCCCATCTGTTAACCATGCCTCTCTTCCTCTGCCACAGAGCACAAGGGTGGTGGGGGAATGAGGAGAAATCGTGGGGGAAAAGGAGAGAGAGGTGGGGGTGCCGGCACTGGGATGTAATGAGGTGCTGTGTGTTTTTCTCTCTTTCGCTCTGTCTCTCTCTCCCTTTAAGAAATGGAACTGTGAGTGCAATGAGTATGTTCATAAACAAGCACAATTCTGGGTCGGCTCGGTCCCTAGTGTTCCACCGGAAAATAAAAAAATATATATTTCGCACGCGATTGTATTGTCAAAGTCCTAATAAAGTGAATATGACTTCTTCTCCGTGCTCAGCGATATAATTTTGTTAGAGGAACAAAGAAACAAAGCCATTTTATATTTCTCTAAGGGGTCTCGTGTTGAGAATGAAAAATGATTAAGATGCAAATACCATGAATTATATTTGTAAAAAAGTACAGAGACTGTATTTGATAATGAAACATTTGTTTTGATGAGATATACAACTCCGGCAGGTTTCACTTTTATTGAGATCTGGCGCGATCTGTATGGAACAGTGCAGTGGTGCTTGACTCCCACCACATTAAAGTCATCTGTACGTTATTATTACAATCAGACAGGAGCTGATCTTTTGAGAAATTTACCTCAGCACAATGTTGCCACCCTTCGTAAACTCTCTCGTTTCCACTTTCCCTCTTTTCTTTTCTTTGCAGCACATCTGCAAGACATTTGCTACTAGCGTGTGCTTGAAAAAAAAGGGCAGTATCCTCTATCCTCGTGGGGAAATGTGGTCGCGAAGATTTGAAATAACATATAACGGGGCAGAAAGTAAACCTTTTAGGAGGTGCATGATACATTAAATAAACCCTCACTCTTTTAAAATAAACTTTGTTTCCTTGAAGAGGCCAAAAAACAATTTTTAATATGTCTTCCG